ACCTTGAGGTTTCTTCCACCAATTGTTTCTCTTTTATGGTGACTATAGTGAAACAGATTTCTTAATGTCTCTTGGGTATGTTGTTTGTTTTTCATTCCCAGAGTTAGGGTAAGTATAAGCATAGTATTAATGGTTGAGCACAAGTCAGCCTTTGGTTAGAACAATCAAAAGAAGATTTGTACTTACTTTATCATTGAAAGTTTTAAACAAGGTTATGGGATCCTTGCTTTACTTTTCTTGGTCAAGAAGTTTGGATAAGTAAGTATAAGCATTGTTACAATGACTGCACTCAAGTCATGCTTGGGCTGACTTGGATCAACCAAAGAGAAAGAGACTTAATTCATATGTGGAGCTTTTTGGAAACACATGTGTGCACCATGTATTGGAATGTGGGAGGAGAGTTTAGTCACCAGTGGACCAGGGAAACTACTATTCTTCAGTAGAAATATAATTATTACATCTACATCTTGGAGAAAATGGTGTGGAGATGAATGGGGAAATGTTTGCCTTTTTATAGACCTCAAAACACCACCTAACAATGTTTGACAAAACTAAGTGGGGTAATTATATTTTGGGTTCATGGGAAAATGTATTTTTTTTTTATTTTTATTATTCATTATTATTATTATTATTATTTTATTTATTTTATTTCATTTTACCACAGTACCTTTGCCGGACTTTCTACTTAGATCTGAGTCACTTCTGCGTGATATGCACATCACCCCATCCATGGTTCCTGCTGTCATCTCTAAACTTGATCCCCACAAAGCATATGAATTTGATGGTATCTCAGTAGTCATCATAAAGAAATGTTCCTGAACTGACTCCTGCTTTCGCTATGCTATATAGTAAATGCTTTACTACTTCTTGCTTTCCATCTTATTTGAAATTCTCTTCTGTAGTTCCTCTTTTTACGAACTAATGCAAACCGTTTGATCCTTTTAACTACTGCCTTATTAGTCTTTTTCTGTCTCCCATCAATGCGTCCATTCAGCCAGATAAATTCCTAACAGCAATTAAGAGTAATTAATGAGTAAGGAAAATAGCAAATTTTTCACTACAGGAACACATGACAATGACACAATTTGGGAAGTGTGTAAACAGTGAACACATAGTGTAAAGGATTCTATATAGATACAAATATAAAATAAATGTATAAAAGTTGTTCAAATAATAACATGATATTAAAGGAGATGAATGAACAGAGAAAAGGTTTTAAAGGTTACATACCCGTGGTACTATCATAAGAGATAGATTTTGGGGGATAAAAAAATATGAACCATGTGCTTGGGCACATGCTTTACTGTACTGGTTCCATTGATAACTAAGGGCTGATAGGAAGTATTCAAAAATGGTGACAAATCTAAAAAGTAACTAACCTGAAAAAAGGACAAACAAAGGAGAAGTATAATAATATAGGTTTGTATAGTGGTAAGGGAACAAGTGTTCTGCACCATTTTGGAAAAGTACTAGAGTTAAGCCTATTATCTTAGCCATTCTCTCTACTATGCAATATGTCTCCAAGGAACATTTTATAGTAGTCTTCAGCTAAGGTAGTGGCAAAGTATACATACAGTTTTATCAACCTTGATATGAGTAATCCTGCACATAATGAGTAGAAGTTTTTATTACAATTCTGATGTGTGTATAACAAAATAAAGTCATCATATCAATTTAGAAGACAAATGTTTTTAGAAAATAAACAAGAACATTCTTTTTCTGGTTCCTTTCTGGGATACATTGGTAAAAGAAGGCCTGGGAAATCTGACACCCCCAAGACACATTGACGGAAAAAAGAAAGCAGGGAATAACGTACCTTGTGTAAAGCTTATATAAATGGATGATGGAACAAAGACAGGGAGGGATAGTAAAACATTGCTAAGAGGTACAAGGATATGAGGTTGTGGAGAGCCATGATCAAGCTTATCCTAAATGGATACGGTACATACAAGGAAATAAAAAAGAAGGGAAATCAGTAAGGCTATAGCATTTATTTTAAACAAAAATATTTATTTTTTAACAAAATCTCCTTTATTTTCAATGTACTTAATTCAATGGATATTAATTAATATTAGCATGCTAATTTAATATAGAAATGATTCAGAAAGTGTCAATATTTCACCTGAAAAGGATGCAATGTCAAGCATCTATTATAAATTGGCAATTATTAGGAATTTACCATTTCTAATCATTCTAAATGCATCAGGCAAATATTCAGAAGCAGTTCAACCTTACAGTGACATCTTGGCAAGGTCAAGCATAACACAGAGAAGTCCACAGTCAAGAACTGTGCGTATTCCATTCCTTACATTTGCAGCAGTTAATATGAAACCAATAGATCCCTAATTGTAAGGTTGAGAAAAATTAAAAAGCCATAATCAGGTGTGAGACAATGAAATCAGCCTTGGCTGTCCATGTATCAAAAGAAAAGAGTGCTCACAAACTTCAGTGGAATGAAGTAAGAATATGAGATAGAGAAGAATCAGATGCATGAAGGTATAAGCACATATACTAGATGATGATAATCTCCTCAGTAGACTTAGCATAGATATATAAATACAATATGGAAGCTATTTAATTATTTAAGAAAGAAAGAACATTATATACCAGAAATACCAGCAACTAATAATAATGGGGCATGGTAAAAAAGATTGCAGTGGCAATAAAGGCAACACAAAAGAAATAGAAATGGCAGTAGATGGAGCAAACCTTGACAAAAAGATTGCAGATGAAGAAATAAGAACATTAAATTTAAGGCTCCAAGATTTAATTTCTGGATTAAAGCATTGGCTACTGATTTTTATGATATAATGATTATGAGTTCAATCCCTAGGCTGAGTCATATGGAAATACCCAGACCCAGCGGAAACAGATAGCCCTAGATATGAACAGTGGGATGAGAACAATCTATCCCTGAAAATTGAATAAGACATTCATTTCACAATTCCCTGAAAGTTACCGAAAATGACAGGGCACAATCACTGAAATGCAGTGATTGTAACAAAACTTTGGTCAAAATTTTTTTTAGGGAACTATGTATGTAGGTACATGTTGTGGAGTAAATAAGACACTGCCAGTAACACAAATGAACTAGGCAAGATGTCTTAAATAAAGAACTCAAAGTGAGTCAGTAGAAATCTGTTGGAGTTATTCAAGGGAAATTTCTAATGACGTCACGGTGAGTAGTCTAACTGAGACATAGTATTATAACCACTAAAAGTGAGTTATCAAAATAGATCAATTAATCATTAGCCTAATGATGGGGAAGCATTTATTTTGTACAACATTATCTCCTTTGCCAATGCCCTTAATTCAATGTTGAATATATATATATATATATATATATATATATATATATATATATATATATATATATATACATTCTATTCTGAGTTCAATTTGAAATTCCAAAAATATCGCCTGAAGAAGGTTGGTGCATACAAATGCCAAAACATTGTGAATATTACAATAAAGATGAGGACAATAGTCTGAATGATGTAAATAGTGTATTTACAATACCTTATGTCAGAAATATAGAGAGATCATGAAGTAGGTCAGAGTATAGAACAGACGAAATGTTATGAATATGGCCATAAAATGAGGACCATAGTCGGATTACAATACCACATTTCAGAAATATAGACAGATCCTGAAGAAGATCATAGTGTACAATAGTTGAAATGTCATGAATATATAAAGATAAGGACAACAGTCTGAACAATGTAAATAGTTATATTGATTTTGTCAGTATATTCTTTTTTATTTTATAACTACCAAGATGCCCCATATATCACTATTATTAAATAAACAATGCTGCTCTGCTCTTCTTGAACAAGTTTTTCATATTTTTTTTTTATTTACATGTCTTTTATGTTTTTACATCAGTTATTACAAGTATACAATTCCTGTTTCTTCAATAATTATTTTATGAATGGGTATCAGCCATATATTATCATGATGACTTGCTATATTGATTTGCTTAAGAGCAAATTTTCTTTTGAGTAATTTGACTATTCATACAATAAAAATATATGCACATTTAGTAATACATGTGTGTATGTTATTATTGTTTTCTGTTCACATAAATTCCAATACTGCTATAAGATGATTGAAAATATATTTTTAATATAAGATTAATCAGAAGTTTAAATTTGCATTCAATCTGATATTTTATCTTAATTCAGTTGCACTAATTTCTATTTCAATAATTACAGTGCTGTAGGTAAATTTGAAATGCTTTTCAGCAATCATTTGCCTAGAAAATCTAATTTCATTCTTAATTTATTATAAAATGAACCATTGTCACCCCTCATCAGTGTTTTTCAATAATCTTTTCTTTCATTTAATTTTAATTGCTTTTTATCACATCTCCTCAGATTGTAACTGAGACCCCCACCAACTCAAATGAGAAATAATAAACCTCCAGTAAAACTTGAATTTGCATTCCTTCCTCTTTGGAAAGCCTGTCATACTTTTGTCTTTGGAAAACCTGTTTTTCCTTCATCTTTGGAAAGCCTGCCATTCCTTCCTCTTATGAAAGGCTGTCATTCTTTATCCTTATGAAAGCCTGTCATTCCATCGTCTTTGGAAAGCCAGACATTCCTTCCTCTTATGAAAGCCTGTCATTCTTTATTCTTATGAAAACCTGTCATTCCATTGTCTTTGGAAAGCCAGACATTCCTTCCTCTTATGAAAGCCTGTCATTCGTGCCACTTTGGAAACTCTGTTATTCCTTCCTCTTAGAAAAGGCTGCTATTCCTTAGCTTTGGAAACCCTGTCATTCTTTCCTTTTATGGAAGGCTGTCATTCCATCTTCTTATGAAAGCCTGTCATTCCTTCCTCTTTGGAAAACCAGACATTCTTACCTCTTATGAAGGCCTGTCATTCTTTATTCTTATGAAAGCCTGTCATTTGTTCCACTTTGGAAACCTTGTCATTCCTTCCTCTTATGAAACGCTGCCATTCCTTCCTCTTATGGAAGGCTGTCATTCCTTCCTCTTATGAAACGCTGCCATTCCTTTGACTTTGGAAACCCTGTCATTTCTTCCTCTTATGAAAGGCTGTCATTCCTTCCTCTTATGAAACGCTGCCATTCCTTCGACTTTGGAAACCCTGTCATTTCTTCCTCTTATGGAAGTCTGTCATTTTTTCCTTTTATGAAAGTCTGTCATTCCTTCTTCTTTGAAAAGGTTGCCATTTCATTCACTTTGAAAAACTTGTCATTCCATCCTCTTTGGAAAGCCTGTCATTCCATCCTCTTATGAAAACCTGTCATTCTTTCCCTTGTGAAAGTCATCTAGGTCACCTGGGTCACATGTTGGCTGCTTAATGACATCACTCCTTACAGTGATGAAAGCTGAGTCAATTCAGTTGGTTTACAGTAGCCAAACTGAGCAGTTAATCTTTTTAGCTCAGGCCAACTGGCCAGGCCTGAGGTTAAATCTGCCTCCCCTAGCAGCTTACAAGCACCTAGTGTTGGTTCCTTTTGGGAATATATCTTCCCCTCAACATAGAAACTTTGGCTCGCATTCTTCAGTTTCGGAAAACCAAAGACTCACAGTCTCCAATTCACAGAATATGTCCTCGCTTGGGATATAGTAGAGAAATCTGGCATGTTTGAATCTGGAATCCTAAACATGGCTTCCCTAGAAATACAGATGACTCTCCATATTTATCTTTTCATTCTCTGTTCACTTTGTTTGATTTGGTATACATATATATATATATATATATATATATATATATATATATATATATATATATATATATTCTGTTCCATTTGTGAAATACACTGTTATTATATCATGGATATAATAATACCTATAATGGAGTAAATTCAAAAAGAGAGAATTAATATATCTTCCATATCTCTCCTATTATGCTGCTTTATTATCAACTTTTTTGAGCCATTTTTCTTTCAAGGAATTTGAAAAGGAAATGAGTATTTCTTTTAAATGTGACATTGATATTAGCAATGTGTTTTTCACTCATATTTGAACAGATCAAAGTTTTACATAAAATTTGAAGATATGCTAATAAAAAAGGACATAACACATTGGTAAAAAAAATATCATCCTAAATTCTTTTAGAATAATAGAAAAAAAAAACTGCTCGATCATGACCTGAATTTTCATGTAAATAAATATTTATGTATTTTCACAAAGTTACTCTTTACAGATTAGATTTTAACTTTATTGTTTATTTCTCCTTTAACAGATTGAATATTTTTACAAGAAGAGTTGCAAGGTGTAAGCATGTTGACTTTACACAGTGTTTTAAACCTCAACAACCCTTTCTAATGCTTAAAATGGACAGGTCACATATTTCCCACTATTTGGCTGGGATGCACAATGTCGTTACATTTGAAATGTGTACTTTCTTTTTGGTGTCTTGGGTGTTTGAACACAGAATGCAAAAATCCCCCCCTTGAATCTGTAAAAACTTGGCAACCAACTACAGGATACATATGGCTGCTGTGTTTGCCAACAAGGGTTTCTTCACCAAATACTGAGTTATGTTTTGCTATGGGGTGAAATACTTATTTTTTCAATAAAAAAGAATTAAATGTTCAAAAGTTAATATAATGTGATTTTCTAGAATTTTTTTTATATTCTATCTCTCATTTTCGAGATCGACCAACCCTGAAAATTATAGACCATTCCTATTTTTGTAAGGTGGCAAACTCAGAAAATCAGCAGGCGATGAAATAATTATTTTCCCCAGTGTATGTGAAATTCATAGAAAAACTTGAACACTCAACATATGAATAGAAATTTAGTCATCAATCAACAGCACAAAAAGTGGAATATCAACATCTAATGAGGGGAAATGTTTCTTCAGAAAGGTTTTGTCTCATACAGTGTCAATGGAGAACAGTTATTAGGTGACAAAAACGCTTTCTTGCACATGAGGAATAATTTATTTTGTTAGACATAATGAGTTCTAGAGTTAATAGACTCAATAAGATTTGGCTAAGAAATATATAAATATATATCCTCTAAAGAGAAGGCAATATATATAAATCATATAAAAGATATGAATAAAGTAGAGTAAATGGGAAAGGTTACTTTGACAGCATATACACTTTTGGTGGGTTATTTAATGTCTAATAAAACTAGACTCACAAAGAATTAACAGAAAAGTAGACATAGATTGTTCTTCCATATGGAGAAAAGGATCCAGTTTACAATGGAGTAATAAAAGCACATAGTTTCAGTTGGCACAAAAGTAAACATTGGTCAAGCTAAAAGCTGAGTTCCAAAATATCCACCTGGGAAATAGCCCCTTTTTGGGAGGTAATGTCACAAGGCAAGGAATGTAGTCTGTCTATCCTAACAGGGTGAACCAGAAAGACAAGCATCATAAATACCAATATTTCATCTCTTGTATCTTTTTTATTCATTTTGTACATTTACAGGTAAGCTCTATTATGAAAATAATTTTTATATATATATATATATATATATATATATATATATATATATATATTATGAAATGGACAAAGTCCGACAATTATTTAAAGATATAAAACATCAAAAGTAAAATGGAAAATTATAAATAGAACAAGAACTTGTAAAACCTGGGATGACCCATGCCCTTTATGTCTACATGAAAAACTACACATTATTAAGTTTCTAAATAATGAAAATTTATTAAACCATAGACATGAGTTAACGGTTTTTTGCCGACAACAACAAATTTTCACATTAAATAATTAGCATAAAAAAGTTAAATTTCATAGTATAATAAAAGGTTTAAAAGCTTAACCCAATCATAAGATAGAAAAACCCTTTATGAAGTCATCAAAAAACAAATTGTAGTTCAGTGCGACGCGTTTATGTATGAAACAGCCCTTTAGAAAAAATAAATGAATAATTAAATAAAATAAAACAAAATTCTCCAGACACTTAATGACAATTTATGGTGCCAAAAGCTATCTTTTGCTGTGACTGACCAGACGATGTGTGCACATGAAAGCCATCATTCGCTTTGAAATGGATACCCCGACCCTACCTTGGCTTGACCTTTTTCAAAAGGTAACTGATATATGGATAAAAATTAACTCTTAGGCCCCTTATCAAAATGGTCACCCCAGCCATTTCCATAGTAATTAATTTTGTGAATGAACATGCTTATAAAGATGCGTAAATTTCAAGATTGGTTATTCTTAAATTTTCACTTGAGGATGAAACAGGGCTTGATACTTTAACTCAATTTAATTTTAATAATTATATTGAGGTTTTCAGCTCTCATTTCTGAAACATGAGAACTCTTATGTAGCGAAGGAATCATATATTTTTAAAAATAATTATAAAAATATATATATATAGATAGATAGATATCTCTATAGTTATAGTTCTGATACTATATATATATATATATATATATATATATATATATATATATATATATATATGCATCAGAACATAAATATATAGAAGTAATATGTGTTAATATCAACACAACACTCACAAAGGAAATTGATAAATCTTACTATGAAAATGATACATGTTAAATACAAACAATAATACAAAGTAACTGATATTGGAAGATTTTACAATGAAATCTATTTCCCTTTCTTTATCCATATATATATATATATATATATATATATATATATATATATATATATTTGTAATAATAGCAAAAGATGATTAAAGCCAAAAATTGCTGACCAGTAAATTACAGGAGATTAATGCATTCAAAATGAGCAGATTTTTGTAAACAAGTGTCTATTGAAATCAACACCCAGTGTTGACAGTCTGTTTCTTTTGTATACTGTCACCTCTGGAGGTTGACTTCAGTATCCACTTTTATATTTACTATTTACATATGCTCTATCCTTGATATTGATTAATTTAACCCATAAATATAGAATATCTTAAAACTATATTTTATCATATATATATATATATATATATATACACTTTATATCAAATTTTATCATTCAAGTTAATGTTTTCACAATAATTTTTATTAAAAACCAATGTTGGTAAAATTATCAGGATATACTTATGATTGATGTCTTGTGTCAATGTCAGTTTATAACGTCCTGGCTTACAGCCATATCACATTGAAACACCAGTTCCCATACAATCACTGAAGTTAAGCAAAATCAAGCCAAGTCAGTACATATTTGGGTGACCACTTGGGAATATCAAGTACTGTATGTTTGGATGGATAATGGCCTGAAATTTTTAATCAAAAAGACAACTTCCAATCCTGCTTAGGTTCATTATATTCAAAGGTATGAGTCCACCCTCTTCTTCCCCCAGCTAAGTGTTAATTAGTAAGATTTGTATTTATCTCCTAAAGAAGAAATTCTTACAATCTAAAAATATTTTACAAGGAAAGCAATCTATCAATCTATATATGGAAGCTAATGTGTTCAATTTGAGGAAATTTTGTAAATAAATTGCTCTGTTTTAAAAGTATGCCCACTATAATAATATAGTTAGCATATAAATAAAATGATAATAAATAATAGTTATTAGATATATAATCCATTTGAACTTTTATTGACTTCTCTTACTCTCTCTCTATATATATATACATATGGAGAGAAAAAGAGTTAATAGCTAAATAAAATGTGTATGTGTGTGTATATATTATTTTAGATTTTAATGACCAAATGGATTACAAAACAACTATTTTGACCAATACAAACATCATCTGGATCCTTTCTAGCAGCTGACAATAAAACATCCTGGACCGATCCACAAAACATACTCCTACACTGGAAGGAACCACCTGAACAGAAACTTGAAGAGAGCTGGTGACTTCCTGAGAAATGTTTGAAATCATCATCCTCAGTTGTGGATGAATATGAGGCTTATTTTTCAAGAATTCAAGACAGCTATGAAGCAAAATAGATCAGGGAAGTCCCCAGGCTCAGATCACATTCCTTTCAAAATGATCAAACATGGAGGCTTACCGTTGCAAACCTGTATTTTCATCCTCATTCTGAAGATGATCCAGAACACAAATTCCTACACTTCAAAAAACAGTGACCGAGAAGCCTATAGGAACTATAGAGGAACATTATTACTCTCTATCACTGGTAAAGTCTTTGCCATGGTCCTTCTAAATCAGCTAACACCAAAAAAAGATCATACCAGAATCTCAATATAGATTCAGTGCCTCTTGTGTCACAAATGACATGATTTTCTGTGACTCCAAGTGAAAAGCAGAGAACAACAAAAACCATTTTACCTTGTTTTTTATGACTTAGAAACGGTATTTCAAGAGCTGCTATTTAGAAGGTCCCTCATTGTTTTGGATGTCCTAACCACTTTATCTCTCTGGTTCAAGCAATGCATGGCAGTATGTCTGGATGTGTATTCCACCAAAACACACTGTTAGAGAACTGCCATATGATGATGTCAACATTGCCCTATGTCTTTCAAAAGAAGAAGAACAACAGTCTCTGAACAATTTTGCTATGGCCTATGATCACTTTCGCATTACAGTAGACATTAAGAATATCAAACCTCATTATCATTATTAAAAACATCATCCTCTTGACTTTTGTAATTGTAGGAGGGATCCTAATGTAGATGCCACATTAAATCTCATCAATGCTATGTCAATGGCAGCCATCAGCAGTTCTGGTATAGACAAACCTGTCCATTGTTTGATATTGTCCATGTTTGACATTGTTTTTATGTTGGTTTCCTCTTCTATGTCCACTTTCAATAGTCTTGTTCAATAGTCTTGCACAAGTGGTCATGCCTTTTAATGTCTCCAAACCACACCATTTTTCTCCATTTGACAGTGGCAAGAAGAGGTTCTTGGTATCCCACAAAACTTTCAACCCTTTTCTGCACAAACTCATTGCACAGCTATCCCCAAATACCATCTTACCAGATTTTGATATTACCATCAAGTAGAGCATTTTCCATATCTAAGCAGCTTTTTATCAAACATCAGAAAAGAATGTGGAACACAGAATTTCACAGAGAGTTCCACAAGCATGAAGTGCAAGAAAATAAATTGTTTTTTTTTTATCATTTCACCCCAAGCAAGGTAATAAAGACACAAAGGTACAAAGCATTGCTGAGTGCTAGAGAATATAAGAATGAAAAACACTATTAAGGACAAGAATTAAAAAAGCAAAAGATAACAATTGACATTGCATTCAGATTTTTTTCCAGATCAAAATTAACAGGGAAGCAAAATGCCAGAGGAAAGTGCAATAGAAGAAACTGCTAGCATAGAACTTATGGTTACATCGTCGCTATTTCAACTGTAAAACGATGAGATGTTGCCACCAATCTAGTGCTGTGCTTAAATTCATAAAGTCTAGGTACCAATGAGGAAAGACTATCCAAACAATTATTATGAAAATATTTATAGAAAAGACACAGGGAAGTTACATTACAGCGGTATCAAGGATTGTATCAAGAATTTTTAAATATATAGCAAGAGTACCAAACCAGATGTGGCAGAAATATTCAGTGCATGGAGGAATAGTAGACTTATAGATATGTAAGATAGATTCTGGCAAGAAAAATTGTCTAGATCGTCACAGTGAACTTTCTTAGCTGCAGACTTAGCAATTGATTCAATATACTCTTTCCATTTCATATCAGCGGGAAAAAGTTAGTTCGAAAAGGGGCAATGAGTTACTCGCCTGGAGCACAGCATCAGCTATGTTGATGGGAGGTAAAAAGATGATTAAAAGAGAGCAGTTCATTTTTGAGATGTTAAAATTAACAAGCCACTCCTTGACCCATTTAACAACAAATTGTAGGTAATTCTTTTAGATCAGCTACCAATTTGACCTAATAGTTGCATCATCGGCATAGATACAGAGTTGAGAACTGATGACATCAGGAAGATCATTTATAAAAATTAGAAACAATTTAGGTCCAAGGATAGAGCCCTGGCATATACCTCTATTTAAGCAAAAAGGTCAAGAAGCATGGCAAACTTTCATTTTGCAATTTGAGATTGTGAGATGCTTAACCAATTCAGAATTGATTAGAATGTCTAGATTGCTAAAAAGAGGTAGAAGGCTAATAGACCAATGGATAGAAGGATCAGATGATTCTTAAAGACTTGAACTACAGACGATTTTGAACAAACAGGAAAGCAAGAAGCAGAAAGGCATTTATTGTAGAGTTTAGAAAGAACAGGAAACAGTTCAGGAGAACATTTCTTAAGGACTATTGCTGTGATAATATCAAGTCCACATGCGTTGTGAGGATCCAGTTTAGAAATGATACCAGAAACCATGGAGTTATATGCATATCACTCAATAAAGACACATTTCTAAGTGGAAAGTCAAGTAAAGGTACCCTAGATGAGTCAAGAGTAGAATTTGAAGAGAATTTACAAGCAAGAAGTTTTGCTTTATCAGCAGAAGATGTTAACACCTCAAAATGAGTGAAGAGAGTAGGGATATAAAACTTATTCTTAATTAACGCATTTACAGAGCCACCATATGATCTATCCCTGACATTGAGTACTTTTAATCATAAATATAGCATACCATAAAAATATTTTTATTAAATACATGTTTCTTAAAAAGTAACAGACACGGTACTTTTGTTAAGTACATTGTGTTTCTCTTGTGTGTGAACAAGAGATTTCTTTTAGGGACTTAGTATGTGTAGAAATTGTTCAAATGATTGTTCACTTTGAATTTTTTCAGTTAATCTATCAGTCATTTTTAAGAATTTTTTTGCAGTCTATTGCAGTTTTTATTTGTTTGCACTTTTTTTGCTATATTCTGTGCTAATAGGAATATATATACTTGAAAAACAAAGTGGATAAAATAAATAAAGGTTTATTGTAAAAACCAGTATAATAAGAATAAAGGTAAGTTATGCACAAGGTCATCGCAAGTCAATCCAGTAGTGAGTGCTACTATTGGAAGGTTGGTAGTTCTTGCTTAAGTCTGAGTCTCTGTAGTCCGTTGACTTACAGCTACTTATAAGTAGTTTCTACCTATACTGTAGTCACTTATGGGGGTGATAGGTTATTCCATTACAACAGTTTTTAAGGGTTGCTTTTTCACTTATTTTTATTTTATAGTTAGAGATATACATTATATTTGTATTTTGAACTATATATATATATATATATATATATATATATATATATATACATATATATCAGTAGTACATCTATATCAATCCATATATATACATATATATAACACCATGTAAGTATGAATATATATGTCTATACCAATAACAATATCAATATGAATAACTCTATATGTATAAATAACATTCAGTAGGTATCACTATATCCATAACTCTGTATTGATAACAATATCAATACATACATGTATGTGTGTGAATATATTCCTTTCAAAAAGATCAAACTAAGACATGAAGTTTTGTCAGGTTGAACTTTATTTCTAAATTTGCCAATATTGCAAATTAGAACTTTTTATTTTTATTTCTGTATTGTCAATTGCATTTTCAACTGACCTTTTAAACTGGCTTTTAACAATTGCAAGAAGTTGGTGAAATCAAAATGATTCCCATATATATAATTGGTGAAAGGTATAAAAAAGAAATAAAACAAGTTTTGTGCTTGATGGAGTATAACTGGTTAACATATCTCTTCCATTAGGACATGAATCCATCTACTTCCCACACATCTTCCTCCATGTTGTTTGATATTTTAGATTCTGTAGTTACATAAAGCATATATATTTAGTAAATCTTCCTTGGAAAGCGATCCACAAGAGAAACTCTAACAGAGACAAAAATAATTACTACATATACAGATCATTCTATGAGATATTAAATTAATGTGTAGATGTGCATCTCTCTCTCTCTCTCTCTCTATATATATATATATATATATATATATATATATATATATATATATATATATATCAGTAATTGCTTAAAATTTACTAGATTTATGGAAGAAAAATATTCTATATTGGAGATAGAGCTTTTGTAGTTTTAAATAAACTTCTCTCCCTCCCCCTCTCTCTCTTATATATATATATATATATATATATATATGTGTGTGTGTATATGTGTGTGTGTGTTTGTGTGTATTTATAGCACATTTGTTCAGAAAAATATATATATTTGTGTACATGTGTATGAATATATATGAAAGAGTACTCAATATTTTGGATTGAGCTTTTGTAGTTAAAATGATCACCTTTTCTCTCTCTCTCTCTACATATATTTACATATATATTTGTATATTGACCATTTGTAGACAAAATATTATATATATATATATATATATATATATATGTGTGTGTGTGTGTGTGTGTGTGTGTGTGTGTATGCGTTTGTATACAAGCATCAATTATTTATTGAATATTATGTATACATTACCATCCTGTAAGCACACAAATACATATCTATATGTGATTGTGTTTTACATGCGTTGAGGTAAAATATATGTATATATACACGCATATGTATTAATCTCTCTCTCTCTTTCACACTCTCTATCTCTCTATGATTTAAGTGAAAATTTACTGGGGCATCAACTACTTTATTGCAATTGCCCTGTTTAAATTGGCTTTGCTGATGCATAATTTTAGCCTAACTGCCATCAGCTTTTATGCAACATGTTTTTTCTTTCTTTCATTTTCTTGCAGTCTTCTAACTTAGATTCTCCTTCAGTGTTTTCCATTTCTCCTTTCTTTCTTTCTTTCTTTCTTGTTATTTCCATCTCTCTTTTCTCTCTCTTTTTTTCCAATTGCTTTTACATATTTTCTCAAGATGTCTGAACTATTAGCTCATTTGTATAATAACCTTCTTCTTCCTTTTTACTTTCTTTCTTTCATTCACTTTATTTTTTTTTTTATTTCATGTCTTGCCTCTCTCTCCTTTTTATCAGTTTAAAATTTGTATTTTTCTTTATTCTAATTTGTTGTAACATATTTTATTTGCCTATTAATTCTTTTTTTATTTCTTTTAAAGTTTTCCTTTTGCTTTCCTATGTTTTTCTTTTTTTTCTTTCTCTTTCTTTCTGGCGATTACTTTTAGTCTGTCTTTCAGTTTAAATTTTTAGCCATTCATTATTCAATAGACAGTCTTTCTTCTTTTTCTATCACTTTCTCTCTTGTATTTTCTGTTTTATTTACTCTCATTTACTATTTTTTTCTTTCTTTCTTTCAGATTAAATTTTTATTTGCTCATTATTTAATATGCTATCTCTCTTTTTTATCAACTTTCCTTTTTTTTTGCCATTTATTCTTTTCCATCAGCCATCATTCTTCTTTACCATCAGCCATCATTCTTCTTTGTGTCACTCTCACTCTGCTTTTCTTTGTTTCTGTCTTTTTCTTTATTTCATCTGTGATCTCTTTTCTTTTTTCTCAAATTACTATGCCTATCATTTATTCTTTCTTTCTTTTTTTCTTTCTTTCTATTTCTCTTTTTTGTTTCCTATCAAACTATCCTTTTCATGCTTAATTTCTTTCTTATTTACTCTTTATTTCATGCCATCCTTGTTTTTTGTATCCATCTTTCTTTATTCTTTCTTTATTTCATTTCATCTCTCTTTTTTGTACTCTCTCACTTTTCTTTCTATTTACTTTTTATTTCAAGCCATATCGCTTTTTCATAACCTCTCTTTCTTTCTTTCTTTCTTTCTTTCTATTTAGACATTATTTCATGTTATCTCTCTTTTTTGTATCCTTCTCCCTTTTCTTTCTTTCTGTTTACTCTTTCTTTCAAGCCATCTCTCTTTTTTCATATTCTTTCTTTCTTTCTATTTACACAATGTTTCATGTCATCTCTCTTTTTTGTATCCTTCGCACTTTTCATTTTTTTTCTTTGTTTTCATTTTTACTCTTTATTTCATACTACCTCTCTTTTCTTGTATCCCTCTTTCATTTTTTCTTTCTTATTTATTTTTTTAATTTTTATGTTATCTCTCTTTTTTGTATCCTCTTACTTTTCTTTCTTTCTTTCAGTTTATCTGTTTCTTCTTTCATAGTTCCTCTCTATACCATCTCTTATTTCTTCTTTATACACCTCTCACTAAAATAATCAGTCTTCTCCCCCTTTCTTTCTTTCTTTCTTTCTTATTTATTTTTTAATTTTTATGTTATCTCTCTTTTTTGTATCCTCTTACTTTTCTTTCTTTCTTTCAGTTTATCTGTTTCTTCTTTCATAGTTCCTCTCTATACCATCTCTTATTTCTTCTTTATACACCTCTCACTAAAATAATCAGTCTCTCCTTTCCCTTATTTATTTTTTCATTCTTTCTTTCTTTTTCAGTTTTCTGTTTTTCTTTCTTTCTTTACTATTTTCTTTCCATTTAAAATTCATTCTCATTTCTTTTTATTCCATTTGTTTCATTCATGTTTCATCTCTCTTCTTTGTATCTCTGTATCCCTCTCACTCTATAAATCTTCCTTTCTTTGGTCAGTCTCATTAATCTTTATTTCCCCTCAATCTGCTTCTTTTTCTTTAATAATCTCTTTACAGATATTTCTCTGTTTCTCTGTCTTTTTTGTTTTCTCGCCCATCTTTGTGTTCTCTGGGAAAAGTCATGGATATTTACTAGATGACTCATAAATATGGGAAATCCCAAAGACACGAGAAAGAGGAATATACTTACACACCAAACCATCCCTTTCTCTCATCCTAGCCCAATACGTTTTCACTCATCTACCCACACTCCCAATCACTTATCTCTAAATATCCACTCCCAATCCTTGTGTCTGGAAGCCCTATGCGTGGTACGGGCAAAGTAGTATTGTCAACGATGGAGTAACAAAGGTAGTGTGGGGCTTCATAGGTTTCAAGGAAGGACGAAGTGTGTACAACAATGATGACTCTCGTCCTTTCCTCGAGCAAGGGCAGAGACATGCAATTCCATTACAGATATATCATGAATAATTATGTCTGGAGACAGCTTTAACGCATTATCAAAGGTTCGACTCCTTTCTTCCTCTCAAAGTGTTGACAGGCGTGCGTATCTGTTGCCTGGCGAATGCAACAAGCCAGGATCAGAGGAATGAGGGAGGAGAAAGGAGATGGGTCTTTGGGTAAAAGAGATGTGGAAACGGCATGCCTGGAGGGGGCATAAGGATTCAGAAAGAGTCATCTAACAAAAAATAAAATTAAGAGATATTTGCCTTCAAGCATTGAGAGAGGTGGGGATATGAGTTGTTATTAACTGATTGACAACTTGTGGGTGGAAGGTGGATGAAAAAAAGAAAAATTAAACAAATAAAAAATTTACAAAAGAAAAGAAGAAAGAAAAACAAGGATGTAAAATAAAAATAAACTCCATTTTTTAATGTATAAGATGAATGAAAAAATAAACGAAACGATGCAGCAATTGATAGCAATCGTTTACATTTAGGATTCAGACCATGTTGACGGTGATTTGTTCCAAGGGTGGGGAAGTTATTCTTTGACTGTCTCTCTTTTATCTATGGATGTTATCTTACTTTTTTATGATTAAAAATCATTATATTCTATGCTTATTTTTCTGTTTATCTTGTAGGGATTTAAGCAAGAGTTAAAATGGTAGCAAATATTTTTCTTCTGTGATCTAATTTGGATGGTGGTAATATTAATCATCTATAAAGTGTGTGTGGGGGTGGGCAAATGCAAACAAAAATAAGCTGTAGGAAGAGAAAAAAGTTTTTTTTTTCATCTCTTCCCAAAATTTATCCAAGCTGCTATTAATATGATTTGTAATATGAAACTTGTGCAAGAGTATCAACTACCATCTTAGGGAAATCTTAGAAGTGTCTTTCAAGTTAATACAGCTCTTTATTTCCTCTAAAATCACTCAACTTTGGTGGTTAATTTTGTAAGCTACAAAGAAGTTTTATTTATAAACTTCCAGAAAGCACCATCTTTTTTCTCTTTTTGCTTGACACAGATAAAGTCATTTGGACAAGATGGCTGACAGTGATGAAAAATAGATAAGATAAGAAAGACAAATGAAAGCAACACACAACCTACCAGATGAGCTTGAATGAATGGATGGTAGAGCAGGGTTTGGAAGAGATTGCAAAAAGACAAAAGTTATTAAGAGCCATAAAGAACAGGAAACGGTGGAGGATGGCACAAAGAAGAAGTTATCTATCAGCCATATCCTTGTAATCTTTATTTAGGACTTCCTCCCCTTATGTTTGTCGATGTATAGGTGGAGAATGAGAAATTAGAGATCCATGTTCAAATCCCTGTTTGGTGACATTCTCTTATACCCAAATACCCTTGAGAAAAGTAAGAATTTATCTCCTCCCTCAAGCTATGGGGTAAATAGTAGGTCTTGTATCTATAAAAATCATTATTATTCTCAAAAAACTGTTAATTCAATATCCACTTAAAAAATAGTTATTCTTCCAATCCAAAATATATTTCAGCTTTAAATTACCCACAAAGGGTTGATAAGTCATAAAAAAAACATATGGCACACCTCATTCAGTAGAACTCTACTTAGAGTGGCTTTTTGGCTTTAAAAATCCAAAACAAAAGAAAATCCTTAATAGATTCAAGATAGTCTTCAACATCTCAAATTAAATGGTATCTGCTGAAGAAAATGTTCTTCTCAGTATTTCATCGGATTCGAAGAGTTTCTAAAATTAAAATAAATTTTTATATGAAAGATCTTCATTAAATAGAATATTTAAAAGCATACTTTTCTATATTCTGCTAAACCTGCATCATCAGTAACCTCTAAGAAAATGGGTGCCAAATATTTACACCAGAAACTAATAGCAAAATCAATGTACTCACAATTTCCTTTCACGCAAAATTTGTGCGTAATGAGTTTTGAAATGAAATTGAAATCTGTCTTAAAAACTCAAATTAAATCTTGTAAAACTCAATCAGATTAATTTATAAATCCCCTGTGTGCCACAAAAATAACTTGTGTAGAAATTTGCGCCCACATGTGTCAATTCGGGAGAGTAGGAAGCTTGTCAATGCATGTGGGGTATAGTTCTTGACCAGGAAAATTCGGATTATGTGGATGAAATGAGTGAGAAGATTTCACTGACACTCTCAAACATGCACAAATCCTCCATTAACATGGAATGCATGGTCCAGTCCCTATTCACATTTTGGGAGCAATTTCCTGAATTTGTTACAGAGCAGCCTTCCCATATCAAGTCACCAAAATTTCTCACTCAGCTTCTCATTTCAGCTTGTTGATGGCCCACCTGAGTATGTAGCCTTGTTTGATGCGGTTGTGCAATTTCTTGATTTGAATTTTGACAAAGGTCTTCTAAATCTTCTGAATAGTTTGAGCTTGAGTATCACCAAGCTTTTGGCAAAACTTGATACAATATCTCAGCTTGATGCATTCAGTCATCTTGTGTGAAAACAAAAATCAGACAAGTGCACACTACACACCTGTACTGTAGGCCTAATAACCAGGAACTGATTTGGCCTACCAGTGCAAAAATTTTCACACATGTGCAGGAAGGGTGGCGGCACCTCATACTTGAAGAATTTTGCCCATTTGGCATTATTTTTGACAGAAAATAATAAAGTCAGATACTTTTTGCATGGAATATTTATTAGGATGGTAAGATATATTTATGCCCACGAGCCATTTAATAAAGAAGTCATTGCTGAATAATAATGTTCATCCTAGCATTCAAAAGCAATGGTAAATCCATCTGAAATAGAAAAACCCTATACAGCATTACTATACCCACACCATGATAACATGTTGTCTATATATGATAAGAGACAAAAAATGTATAATTGCTTGAAAGAAACCACCTTTATCTACCTGTTTACTGAACATGAATGTGACAATAGCCAGTTGAGGCAGAGAAATAGATACACTTTAAAAGACACAGAAAAGAGAAAAATATTAATTATTATAATCTACAAATATTTTCTGGCTTTACAGAGATGGAAATGCAATGTGATAGGTCCTGATCTGGCATCTCATCTACTGTCACTTTCTCACAGATGTACTGTAGCTTCCCTCTGTGTTTTCTACAAATATTTTCATGGCAACTGCTCTGAAGAGCTACTTTCACTGGTGCCCCAATTGCCTGAATTTAAGCATGCTACTAGATTAGCATCTCAGTCCCACTCTTTCACTGTTGATACAGTTAAATTTAACCACCTCTTCTACTCCAACAGCTTCTTCTTTCGCACTTTCCGTCAGTCAAACTCCTTTCCTTTTACTTGCTTCCCTCTTAGCTATAATCTTCAAATATTCAAATGTAATGTCAATTGACATCTTCTGATGCCTTGATCCTGATCCCCATCCTTCTTTTTATCCTTTCTTCAAACACCTCTCTTTACTCTTACTTTCACTCTCTGTAACCTGTTGCGTGCTAGTGGCACTCTAGCCTTGCCTCAGGTGAAATGTTTAAAAAATAAAAAAATTAACCTGTAAAGGGACTATAAGCAGTAAAAAACAAATCAATCAACGTGACAGAGTGAATTTGTGAGAGGTGAAAAATATCCTGCGAGACATGGGAAACTTGAGAGATTAACAGGTTTAACAATATGTTCGCAATCCCTGCACCTGCATGTATACATGATTCCTATGTGAACCTTTTAGAGTGTCATCTAAATCATAATAATGGCTTACTTGTGAGTTGGTATGTTTGTGCCTAATGTCAGTGATATTGTCTTGATCATATCAGGAAATAGAAGATGAAAAAGGTATACATGCTGTCACTCTTATTGATGGATGGACTACGACTCACCCAATGGTTTATCTTCGTTACCTCTTACAAGACTGTCATGCAACATACTTTTTATTCATTGACATGCACAGAAATTACATGTCAAGGACAGACAACCAAGTTTTGTAACATTACACTTGATTTCCTTTCTGCCACAATTTTTTCCCTAGTTGATAATTCCAAAAGTTGAAGTTATGTTTGCTGATGCATATTGTTTCAAGTAAAATTACAATTTTTAATGTATCTGGAAAGTATTTTAAATCTGAAGGGACATTGAAATAGTATGCCTTCCAAAAAAGAAACAAAGAGTTTAAGAAACTGGAAAATTTTGCTAGAAATCTTTTTTAGAAATAGAAAAAAAAAGTGCTGAACTTTTATATAATATCAATCATCCTATATAGCAATGAACGCTGGACAATTTCTGCTGTAATCAAGACAAGATCGAAGCAACAGAGATGTGGTGCTATAGAAGGATACTGAGAATACCATAGAGGGAGCATTTAAACAATGAAATAAAAAGGATATTTATACTTAAAATCAGAAAAGGTTGAAATTTCTAAGATACATATCAAGAAACCTAGGCCTGGAGAATTTGACAGTAACAGGATATACTGAGGAGTAGAGGAAAGCAGAGAGTAACTTACATAATTAGTTTGTGTAAATTGTTGGGATAATAAAAAGACAAATAATGCTAAGAGCTACTAAGGATAGGAAGTTGTGGAGAAACATAATCGCCCAAATCCTGAAGAGAAAAGACACAGTTATTTAGTAAATAGATCCAAATATAAAAAGTGTGGTAATGTTTCTATGGTACACAGTGGATTGCATAATATATATATATATATATGTATATCGTGTGGTTGAGAAAAACTGTGCAGATTATTAAAATCAAGTATCAAAAGCTGAAAAAATCAAATTAATAAAAGAAACATATACATACACCTTTTCCAAACACACAGACATGCTTTTTCTCTTTCTCCCTCTTGTTCCCATCAAAATAGACTTATTCAATTATTAGCAAAAGCCACCATTAAAATCTTCTGTTCTCACCTCCAATGAAAATAGGTTTTAACTTAGCAAACTGTCAATACAATCAAGTAGCTTTCTTTACCATTTTACCATTTTTTCAGTAACTTTTAACCCTTCAGTTGAAATGGCTAGATGGAACCATAAACGATATGCTAAATTCTTTTTTCTCACACTTCTCACTTGTGGAATTCTCTTTTGACTTCTTACTTTCCAGTCAAGTTTGATCATCAAAAATTTAAATGCAATGTCAATCATTATCTCCAGTCTTCTTAATTCATGTTCTTTTATTGATCTCGCTCCTTTAGAATTGTTTCCTTTATTCTTATATTCTTTCACACTTAGTAAACCTTAGTGTTTTAGTTGCATTCCTTTGGATAAAATGATTAAAAAAAAATATTCTTGAGATTTTATTTAAGTAAGTTTGCATTTTTATAGTTGAGGATTTTTCATTCACTCACTCACTCACTCTCTCTCATCTCTCTCACTCACAATATATATATATATATATATATATATATATATATATATATATATATATATATATCATGTCTCTTTAGATTGATTGTGGGGGATTATGAATTTCCACATGTTTGGTTGGTTGGTTGTTTTGTTTAGTGGCATGTCAACCTCTGTGGGTTATTTAACACTGAAGTCTAAATATTTTGAATGTAATTTTATTATTATATAGATAATGATGATTTTGGTGATACAGTTCTTACTAATTAACCCATAGCTGGGAGGAGAAGAGGTGGATGCATCCCTATCCCAAGGGTATTTGTGCATAAGTGAATATAATGAACCCAATAGGAATTGGAACTCTCCAATGAACAATTCTGAGCCATTATCCATTACACCACACACACATACAAGCTTACAGCACTTGTTATTTCCAAGCAGTCACCCATCTAGGTACTGACCAGAGTCAGTGTTGCTTAACTTTGGTGATTGTATAGGAACCCGTGTTTCAATGTGATAATGGCCATAATCCCATGTCATGGTGCTTTCATTCTTTCTTCTTTATGACTCATACATATCTTCATGGTGCTTGACCCACCATCCATTTGTTCAAACCTATCAAGTATATTATTTGTTGTGTTCTTCCATTTCTCTTGCTTTTGATATACTCAGTGAGTTTAAATTCTCCAAGCCTTCTTTCTTCATTATATGTCTGTAAAATTTCAGCAGTCTCTTTCTGATTGTTCTTGACAATTTGCTTGTAATTCTTATTTTTAAAACTTCCTTGTTTCTCACATAACCTGTCCATGGTATGTTCAACATTTGGTTCAAGAACTATATCTGTTCCTCCCAAATTGTCCAACATTACCACCATAGTAGGAGATTAGATATCATAGCAGTTCAGACATTTTCCAAGTTCTTAATCACAATCTCAGTTCCTGAAAAGCATCTTTCACTGTTCCTGTGCACCTTTGGATGACTGTCATATTTTAAGATAGCAGTTAGACTTAGGTACCTGTTTGATTTTGAAATATCTGATATGTAATTCATATCTTTAGACTGTCCCTTTTGTTTTCTTAAAAAGGCATGTCATAAAAATTTAATAATTTACATGCATACTATTGTCCTCATTTTTGTTGTTGTTATCACATATTCTACCTTGAACCAACAATTGCAAAAGAGAAAAGCTTCAGTGAATGCAGTCAAGCATGACAAGCAGCAGTAGGACTCATCAGCAGTCAAGTTAGGTTTAAGGCTCCAAGTTCTCCACAGAGAGGACAATAGCCTAGTGGAATAAATCATTGGTTTATGAAATTAGTGAAATAGTAATTGTAAGTTCCATCCCTGGACCGACTAGAATGTACTTGGACTCAGTGGAAATATCATTGTAAAGAAAAAGAAACTCCTAAATGTATCCGAAGGAAATTTTCTGAAATAAAAACTAATTTCTATATATGTGATTTTTACTTATCCTTGACTTTTTTCAGTAATTCTTTGGTTATATTTCTCTGGCAAATAAACATCATAAAATGTCTCTCTCCTAGATGTAGCGACAGTAATTTTATTAAAAGAAAATCTGGGGACTACTGTACTAACTTCTTTTAACTAATTGTATTCTCAGATCACTTTGTAGCAGAAAATAAGATAGCATAATAATATGCAGAATTTTTTTATTATCTTGTATTACATATTCCTTGTACTAAGAAACAAAAAAGTAAAATACATTAACAATTTTTTTGCATATTTTATTAATTCTTTCCTCAAATATTTGTATGTTTTATACTGCTGACATACAAGTTGTTCTCTTTATTCTATCTTAGTTTGCAAATAATTCATCTGATAATTTTGTTTGATATAGTTCTTACATGTTGTCCTTTTATTTTTATTAATATTCCCTTTTATTTTGATGACCTTATTCTACAACTGCAGTTAATGAGCCTCATTTTTCTGGCATCAAAAATGAAAACAAGTATTACTTGGCCACAATCTTCAACTCAACTACCTTTATAATGTAATCAATTTAGAAAAACTAAGTGCATCGTGAATTATTTCGTCTTCCAATTGATTACTGAATAACAATCTTACACTTGTGCTAAAAACCATCTGAAATTTAGAAGCAAAAAAATATAGTAAAAAATTATTAATAACTAACATGGTTTCATCTAAAAATATTGAATAATATCACTATTAAACTTCTTGTGACTAATATTTCTACTTCTATGTATCTTTTCTGATGTTAAGTATAAGGGTCCTTTTCATTTCCATTTTCTCTATGTCATTGCTCACATGTTTGGTCCATGGTATTCTCAGCCTTCTTCTGTAGAACTACAATTATGTTACTTCTTTATACTTCTTCTTATATGTGCTCTGTCAATCCAGGACATTGTTGATAATGGCTCTCCACTATTTCCTGTCCTTTGTAACTTCTAATAAACTTTTGCCTTTTGTTATCTCTCCTAATCCCTGTTCTACCATCCATTTATTCCTTAGGTAGGTTATCCATTGTTTTATTCTGTCCCTCTTGCCTTCAATCTGTTCTGTAAATATCAACTCTTCCAAGTCCTCAATCCTCACTATGTTCCCTAGAAATTTCAAATGTTATTTTCTGATGTTAAGTATTTGGAGGAAATAAAGACTATTATAATTCTCATGGCTAATACTATTTAAACATATAATGAAGATGGAAGGATATCAGGTATTTGAAAAAAAATAAAGAATAAAACAATAAAGTCAAATATCACGAAAATCCTGAATATTCCACTGCAGCATGTGGGACCACAGTTCTCAACACAGTTGGCATGGCTGCTATGGTTTTTTTAGCAATTAGTTTTTATGAGAGTGTTGTTAACCCCATACCCAACCAGTTTTGAACTCAGAGTTGTCCTTCTCTTACACTAGTTACCAATCAATGCTGTAGAGCCCAGTCTACTCTACTATTTAATTTATAGCTTGGAAGAGAAAGGTTGGATTCCTACTTTTCTGGAAAGTATTTGTCCAAAAGTGAATATAACAAACTAAACTGAAATCTGAACCTAGTTTTCTAATTTTTATTTCCAGGTGGCTAACCATGACACCACCTGTGCATCCAAATGGTCAGTTATGGCTTAAAATAAATGATCTCTGTAGCTTAATTAGTAAAGCAGCTGTTTTGATAATATAGATTCTTGTGTATATCGGATGAAAGTTTTTACTAGACATTTACTTTTTTTTGTAATTTGTACTGCTTAGTAATGAGTAGTTGGTACATGAAGCAAAAGAAATACATGGAAAAAGAAAGACTAATAAATTATGAATAACATTTTGTGTGTATATTTTAAAATACACTGATCAAGGAAAAATACTTCAAATGAGATGCTTCACTGCAAAAGATTTTTGGACACAGTCTGTCATGCACATTTCAATAATATAATAAGATCTTTGTAGAAGCATATTAACTTGGTAAATGTGATTAAAATTCCAAATGAAGGCTTTGGATTAATATTTGGCGCTTTCAAAACAATTTTTCTTCAAATTTTTCCTTCCTGCTTGCCTTCTTCCTGCTGGCATGTTCAGCCATTTTCCAATCGTATTTCTTTCTACTTTTGAATCTGTAATTAAACTTAATCATCTATCTGGCAATAAAATTCTAGGAAAACTAATTTCTAGTTACTTGATTACCAGCTTTATCTCAATTCATTTGTTTATTTTACAAATACTGTTTTTTTTTCCTTTTTTCTTAGTTCACAGGTGACAGTAAATTTCATATTTGAACATTCAAAACAATATTACATTCATGGAGGACATTATAAAATGTGCTTATTACACAAGCTTCATTTTTCTTCTATTTTAAGTTTTTACTTTTTTATTTAATGAGTTGTGCTGCAGGTAAAATGTTTATGATCAAAATGGAAGTGAAAATATTTGAGCTTCAGGGCATCACATTATTATTATTAATTTTTTTTATAAAATGAAAAGGATTCTAGGAAAATTCACACAATGCTTATCTCTCAAGTATTCACCTTTCCTCACCTTGCTTACATTAATTGAATCTTTTGTTTGTCTATTTTTGTGAATTATTTGAAATAGTTTTTTACACAGTGATATAACAAAGCCTTTAATCACAAATAATATTGTTTCTTACTTAATTGTGATTAAAATTACTATGATTAAACATTTGTTAATCTTCACGAGTTTCTCCCCTTGGCAACTCTTCAACCAGAAAAGGGGCAGCTTACCTGGAAGGGGCTGAGCAACCATTTTAGATTGGACCTACACATGGAAAACAAAGGAGTTGAATAAAACATTCTCTTTTCATTTCGTGTCCAAGTTATTTTAATTTGAATTTACATTGGTATCAGGCATGCACTTTGTCACCAAGTTCAAACAAATATAGTGCAGTCACACAAAATTGGTGATACTGTTCTCTGTAAAAGAAATGTTATAGATGGCTTGGTCCAAGAACTGTCATAACATTGGAACATAAGCAGCTACTTGTTAAATATGGTAGTACATATGTGAGAGTGCATCCATCCCATTTAGTCCCCTACCCTGAAGTATATCAAAGTTCTGAAGATGGCACAATAATGGAACAGGCACACAACACCTTACAAAAAGTTCAAAAGTATCAGTTTTTGAAAAGAATGATACTTACAGTGGGGAAAATAAGTATTTCATCCCTTGCTAATTTTTCTAAGTTTACCACCTTACAAAAATGTGAATGGTCTATAATTTTCAGGGTAGGACCATCTTGAAAGTGGGAAATGGAATATAAAAAAAATTCTATAAAATCAAATTATATTAATTTTTGAACATTTATTTCTTTTTTATTGAAAAAATAAATATTTCACCCCCAACCAACCAGCAATGATTGATGCTCTATTGACTGGCTATGTAACCATGAGGCATATAGACTAGTCCTATTACTCAATTATTACTCCTAATCAAATACTCATTACCTCTATAAAAGACACTAGTTCACAGAATCCTTCAATGAATCAGAATCTAATCTCTCCACAATGGTCAAGATGAAAGAATTGTATAAGGACATCTGGGATAATATTGTATACCTGCACAAGACTGGAATGGGCTACAAAAAAAATTAACTAAAATTAATAAGCTATTTGCTGTCCCAGTTAAAATCTTTTGAGCAATACTGATGGCCCAATAACAATTTTCTCAAAGTAAAGTCTTAAACTGTTATATGAGAACTAATCTCTAATATCAGAGTTTCCCTAAATGAACCATGGCAAATTTCAGGTGGCCACAGAAATTTTTATAATTTTTACTGGGCCACCACTTATGGGCTACAAAATGAAAGTAATTATTTTTTAGACTATAATAATTTCATGAGCTACAGAAAAATTCTGGGTTCAAACAACCAGAAAGAGATAATTGAAATTTTTAGGACTGATAATGAGGAAAGATGTCCGAGAAAATCTAACACTCACATGACATATTGAAGGTAAATGAAGCAAGAGTAAACCATGAGTAAGCTATTTAACAAATCTGAGTAAACAGATGGCAAAACAAAGAGAAATCAGGGATAATA